CAATAATATGTTCAGTGATGTCCTGATAAATATTTAACAGCTGGCCTTCCGGTGGGCCAGGGTGGAAGCCCCGTTGTAGTATTTACAGATTTCTGTGGCATAAATGTCACCAACATTATTTATTTCAAGCTACTAATGTGATGTCACTGAGTTAGGAGTTGGGAAGAAATGGAAAGAAATACAGTTGCACCATGCTGTGTAATACCACTACCTCGTATTTCCATGACACAGATAAATTAGATGCAAATAATCTCAAAAGTATAGATAAGTATGAAGATAGAGCAAAATAGAAAGTGAATTTTAGGTTTTTGTTTGTTTGTTTGTTTGTTTTGAGACAGAGTCTCACTCTATCCCCCCAGCTTGACTGCAGTGATACGATCTCAGCTCACTGCAGCCTCAACCTCCTGGACCAAAGCAAGCCTCCCCGCTGAGCCTCTCAAGTAGCTGGGACTACAGGTGCATATCACCACGCCCAGACACTTTTTTTGTATTTTTGTAGACAGGGTTTCACTATGTTGCCCAGGCTGGTCTGAAACTCCTGGGCTCAAGCAATCTGCACACCTCAGCCTCCCAAAGTGCTGGGATTACAGGCGTGAGCCACGGCGCCCAGCCTGCATTTCTTGTTGACATGTCTGGTGGTAAACTCATGAAGCATATTTACTTCATTATTTAGATCCTTATTTGTCATTGCAATATTTTACAATAAACATATGTTACCTTTATAATCAGAAAAGAATTCAAAGGGGTTTTTTTTTTTTTTTTTGGTCTTATTTGTTAAGGCCTAGGGAAAAATATCAGGGGATATTAATTTTTAAGTCTCACTGGAACAAAACACTTCCCCAAAGGATTGATTGTGTTAAGGTGTAACTAAAGAGCAATGTTAGAATCAGTTAAGCCATATGATACCTTTGCTCAGTCATGGTATAAGGAAATGGTTGTAAATTCCTTCAAAATAGAAATACAAAACGTCACGACTCAAAGAAATTTGTGCTCCCAGGCCTTCTCATACTCACACTTCACAAACAAGGAAGCTGAAAGGTTGGTGTTTTCCCAAAGTATGCACAAGGTAAGTGGAAAATAACCCAGCTCCTCTCCATTTATAAGTAGTCTCTACGGCCTATGAATAAAAGTACA